CGCGTCACAAGCAACACAGAGCGAAATGTTATGACAACCATAAGAACGTAGTTTACTGCGGCTTAATGTGGCTGGGCAGTGCAGGGTAAAGCCATCAAAAAATGCTTTATTTTTTTTTTTTAAAGTTTCCAAGAGAAACTAACCAATGTGGACATGCAGCTATTTTTACACAAAACCCTGACTTTTGGCAAACTCTTTCCAGGCTATAGCAGAAAATGCTTACTCTTTATTATTAGTAGTATTATCTCAGTGCCAAACTAAAAACCATACACTTTCCCTCTTGGAGGCTTTCTTGTAAGCTAATGTAATAGGGGAATCTTCTATAAAGGACACGTCCCAAGTTGCTGGCTGCAGCATGCAATATCCCTCGGAAAAAAACATCTTTCATACTTAGGCAGGATGAAGTCTGTGTATCTTTTTCCATGAATGAAAGAGTGAATGAGTGACTATCAATGCTGAAATTTGATCTTACCTCAAAATCCTAGAGATTCGTGTTTTACCAGGCACATGTATCTACACAAGAGGGATCTCGGCACTTCTGGGAAAGAAATGCAAAGTAAGAGGGTTACTGCCTTTGTGGATTGGGAGTGAGAAATGTACCTGCAAATCTTAATCCCAATATTAGATTGGAAACCACTGAGGCAAGGGCTGGAAGCAGCCCTAGATCCTCTCTGGGAGCTGGAGGGAAGACGGGTGCACAAGCCAGTAACTCTAACAAGCTGGAATTCAAAAAATGCCCGACCTAAAACCCCAGGCTGGGACATGTACAGGCTTGGGGGAATGCTCAGCTCCAGCCCCTCCTGTTCAGATTTACAGTGCTGAGACCAATACCATGCAGATTTTATCCACCCAGTGTCCCATCACAACAAAGTGACATCATGTGAGGATGGGATTTTGGCTGCGGACAGGGACAAATGTAGTGTAGAGTATGAAAACAAGCTGTACACTTCTTATTCTTGCTGTTCAGAGAAGAGCAGAGACTCCCACTCGAGTGGGAGGGCTGGCTTGGGCCCCACATGAACCTTGCGCTTGGGTGATCACGGGTGGCTGGGTTGATAAAGAGTGAGCCAGAGAGATAAATACCCGTACAGAGGAAAATAAGAACAGATAATGGATTGGTGCAAGTCGCAGTATATTTCCTCCTGGTGATGAAAGGCTAAGAGTGAGTTATAGATCTTTCCTCACGATAAGAACAGATATTTCTTTCCAAATCATTTATCTATAAGATACTGAGATATTATTTAGGTCTGCTTTGGTATTAATATGGCTCTTTTTATTCCCATCCCAGTCTTTAGCAGGTGACAACATTCTGGTAGGGACCCCAGAAGTTCTGTCTGCATCTCCCACAGGTGAGGTGTTGCTTTTCATCATTGGGAGCTGGGAAGGAAGAAGGAGTGTTTATCCAGGTGTCTCAGGTGAAGGTGATATGGCTATTTATGCATTACCAGCATTTAAATGTTGGTTTGTTCAGGTCCTTAGAGTACAAGAAGCATCACTGAAAGTGTTATAAGATCTGTTACTGCTCTGGGATAGAATTAACTTTACAAAAAAACCCCAAGCATTTACATGTCTGGGAGATACGACACGTGTGCAGCATGTGTGTGTGTGTTTGTGAGGGTGGGAGCCTCGGTCTGGAGAGCATGTGGGGAGAAAAATACAGCGTGGTTTTGTCAGCCAGGAAATACCGGAGCACCGAGTTTGATAGTGAGGGAAACGGTTTTTAATTTTTTTATTATTATTGTTAATATTTCTACTAAGTAAATGTTTTATATAATTTTAGTAAATGCCCATTCCTCAGCCACCTTCCCTTGAGGTGCTGCTGGTGAGGTGAGGGCAGGGTGGTGGGAAATGGGGGGGGCAGCTCCCACCCCCCCTCACAGCCTCCATGAGGGGTTGTACCTCCGGCATGAGGGGATGGTGGAAACACCTGGGACAGGTGAAAACACCTGACCTAAGAGGAAAGCACAAGTGAGCTGGGGCCGGCTGGAGGTGCCAGCCAGGGCTCGGGGCTGTGAGATGAGGGGTTCCTGGGCAGTTGGGTGCCATGCGAGGGAGGGTGCCATGTTCCCTCTGTGAGGGCGGGTGCCACGTCCTTCCATGAGGGCAGGTGCCATGTCTCTCCATGAGTGCGGGTGCCATGTTCCCTGCATGAGGGTGAGTGCCATGTTCCCTCTGTGAGAGCAGGTGCCATGTTCCCTGTGTGAAGGTGAGTGCCATGTTCCCTGTGTGAGGGCAGGTGCCATGTCTCTGCGTGAGAGAGGGTGCCATGTTTGATCCATGAGGGCAGGTGCCATGTCCCTCTGTGAGGGCGGGTGTCACGTTCCCTCCGTGAGGGCAGGTGCCATGTCTCTCCGTGAGGGTGGGTGCTATGTTCCCTCTGTGAGGGCGGGTGCCGTGTCCCTGCGTGAGAGTGGATGCCATGTTCTGTCCAGAAGGGCAAGTACCATGTCCCTCCGTGAGGGCAGGTGCCATGTTCAATCCATGAGGGCAAGTACCATGTCCCTCCGTGAGGGCAGGTGCCATGTTCAATCCATGAGGGCAAGTACCATGTCCCTCCGTGAGGGCAGGTGCCATGTTCCCTCCATGAGGGCAGGTGCCATGTCTCTCTGTGAGCGCGAGTGCCATGTTCCCTCTGTGAGAGCAGGTGCCATGTCCCTCTGTGAGGGCGAGTGCCATGTTCCCTGTGTGAGGGCGGGTGCCATGTTCCTCCGTGAGGGTGGGTGCTATGTTCCCTCTGTGAGGGCGGGTGCCATGTCCCTCCATGAGGGCAGATACCATGTCCCTGCGTGAGAGCGGGTGCCATGTTCTGTCCAAAAGGGCAAGTACCATGTCCCTCCGTGAGGGCAGGTGCCATGTTTCGTCCATGAGGACAGGTGCCGTGTCCCTCCGTGACGGCAGGTGCCATGTTCCATCAATGAGGGCAGGTGCCATGTCTCTCCATGAGTGCGGGTGCCATGTTCCCTGCATGAGGGTGAGTGCCATGTTCCCTGTGTGAGGGTGAGTGCCATGTTCCCTGTGTGAGGGTGAGTGCCATGTTCTCTGTGTGAGGGTGGATGCCATGTTCCATCTGTGAGGGCTGTTTTCCCACAAAGCTGGTGGCGGGTCAAGGGGACTCAATGCTCTGGTATATTTTCACCTGCTGTAATCTCAGCAGGAGCCTTTGCTGTCCTGCGTAAACCTCTGCTTTTGGATCTTAAGAGAAACCTTTGCAGTGGTCAGTAAATCCTATTGCACTTGCTCTAGTTTATGAGATTTCCAGTAGTGCACGGCTTCGGAAATTTGTCACTTGGTGGATCAAACAGCTCTGAGGGCACCGCAGATTTGGGATGAGGGGGGAGAACTCAACTGTCTCCATCTTGTTTAAATGAGCTTCAGGTTCAGTACATTAACGTGCTAATAAGGGAGCCTTGTGTTCCCACAGTGCTCTTACAGGCGTTCTCACACTGCTGACCTGACCTCCTTAATCCTGGCTTTCCTGAAGGAAAAGCTGATCCATCAGGCCTCCTGTACCTAAAATGGGATAAAAAGAAGCAATGGACCTATTTCAACGCTGATGTTTCTCAGTTACCTCAAGCAGCCTTGTTCTTTTTTGTATTCATCGCTTATTTCCCTGGGAAGTGAAAAAAAAAAAAGGGAAAAAACCCTCTAGATGTGAGGGCTCAAATCACTGAAGATGAGAAGCAGCAAAAGGAAATAAAGAGGTCAAACACCTAAGTTAGCTTATGATTAAAAAGAAATTAGTGGGACTATTTTTAATTTGTTTAAATATATTACTTTCCATTAAAAAGGTCTTAATATTTCACTACGTATGAGATGAAGTGTGTCACCAGAGGAAGATTTTTCAGTTTTAGTATCTTTTCTCTTAAAAAATTAGAAGTCCAATGCCAGTGAAGTCACAGATGTGAAACCACTAGGAATGGCAGCAGTGTGGGACTTTACCTGTACAATACATCAGGGTTGCCTTCCAGTCAGGCCAATTTGCAAGAATTCAGGGGAGAAAGATAGAAGCTGTGCGGTAACAGGTACACTAGGGGTAGGTCTGTGGTACCACATAGCCCCCCAAATACTCGACCTCAGAATGTTGTGTAGCTTTGAGAACCAAAACTCTGCATCTCTGCACTCAGACCCATCCCAAGGTGTTGGGTCCCAGACTAAGGAGCTGCTGGGAGCCCTCTTGGGAGGCTGAAGTGCATCTCATATCTGAGTTTAGCTGCCAGAGCTTACGTCTTTTTTTGTTAAATCTGCTAGACTATGGATATTTTCAGGCTGCAGCTGACAGAAATTAGAAAGGATAGTTGTAAACAAAGTTTTGTAATGCCAGAAGTCTATGACAGAGCTTTTTTAATCAGTGCACAAGCTGAACAGTGATCTGACTGTTCTAAGGCTTTCCATGAGACTGCTTGTTTTTCCATTTCTCTTTTCTTTCTTTTGTTAAATGAAGTTCCTTAACAGTCAGTATAGCAACTGGGTGAGTGTCTGCAAACTCACTTATGGGGGAAATCCACCATAATATTTAAAAAAAAAGTAACAAAACATTTGCTTAGGAATTTGTCACAAAATTCCAAAACAATGCAAACACCCTCAGTTTCATGTTTTGCTCCCAGCTGGAAAGCCAGGCCAGAGTCACTGAACATTTCACCAAGTCTTGCTAACCTTCTGAGCTGAGTTGTGAGAAATTGTTCTTGACATCACATGAGCTGGGCCACAAGGCAGGACTAATGTGATATTTGCTGTCGAAGGTTTCCTAGGAAACATGCTACTTAGAGCACTCAGCTCTCCCTGCCACCCTTCCCACATCCTCCAGCTTCACCGGCTCCCACAGGTTTTGCAGAGGGCAGCGATGTCCCCTCTGACCTCCGGGCACCCTCGGCGCAGACCTTCCCAGCCGAGCAGAGAGGGGCTGTGGAGACTTTTGAAGCTCGCTCTCCTAATTGCCCTTTTTTTTTTATGATTTATCCCTTTCCCTCTTTTTTTTTTTTTTTTCCCCCCAGCAGTCTGCAGTGGAAGAAGTGAGAGAAACTAAGCTACATCCTGGAAGACTGGAGGTGGAAAGAAGGAAGTTTTAGCCTTCCCAGCAACCTTAAACTTTCCTACCAAAGGGGAACTGGTGGAAAAAGGTTAGGAAAATCAGCAGATAACTTACAACTTTACTTGCCACAGGGCTCCTCATATTTTGCCTGCAGTTTGCAATGCAGTAGCTATTGTGGTACATTACCTGTAGGGATTTTTCAGTGCAATGGAGCTCCCCAATTCATTCCCATAATTTCACCTGGTGGCTGTAGGTGCTGTCCTTGACATCAGACCCACATAAATGATTCCTGTCATTCAGGCCAAACTTTTCAGCTTGGCCATTTGGAGCATCAGGATGGTTCCCATGGAGGATGAGATGAATGGAGTCGGTTCACACATGTTAACCAAATGCAAATCCATAGATGGAAACCCATGGTCAGCTTTTTCCAATGCTATTTTCAGAACTTCCACAAAAGACTGTGCTGTGATTATATGTATTCATGATATGTATATCATGTATTCAGCTCAAACAATATTTGAATGATGCATTTAGAATTCTTCCTAAAAAAGGACCATGCTTCTGTAAACTGCACCATATTTGTAAAAGAGGGGAAAAAACCTCTAGCTTGCTTTTCCTTTCTTCCTCTCTTTCTTTTTAATCTATCATTTCATAAGGCTGTTAGAATTGGTGTTAATGCTACATTACACACAGACACACTTCTACATAATCATATGCATTTGCCTGTATTCCATACATAAACAACCCTATGGAATCCCAACTCTTCATTGTTAAGTTTGTCTCCATATTTTTCAAAGCAAAGCAGCTCTGGGTGTCAAATAGTTGCTTTTTTCACTCTCTTTCACTGGCCTTTACAGCAAATACAGCCAAAAAAATAATGCATTGAGAGTTTTGTGGGTTGGGTGGGTTTTTTGTTTTGGTTTGGGAATTTTTGTTTGTTTTGTTGTTACTGGTTTTCTTTGGTTTTTTTTTTGTTTTTATTTTTGATTTCTGGTGGTTGGTTGGAGTTTTTTGTATATCTTTATTTATTATTGTAAAGAAATATATTATTGTTTATTTATGTGTATTTTATTTTGTTTGTATATTTTATTTTGTTTTGTTTTATCTTTCCTACCTGGCCATTTATAACTACCTATTTTCCCTCATGTCTCTTTCACTGGTGAAAAAAAACAACAAACATTTTTTTGACTGTCATTAAGTGTCCTTCACATTGCCAATATTGATTTCCCCAGCCCCTTGGAGGCCAAGAGTGTCACCTCCATGATGCTCCCTGAAGCCACTGACTTGGAAAACAGGAGTGCTAAGGTTGCTGTTGCCAGACATTGGTTTCCCACATGGTAGGACTTAAGACAAGTAGCCTTAAGTCACTGGACTGATTAATTTCTCTCCGTGATGCCATTCACTTCACCTTACCATGTTTGTGTAGTGAAGCTGTTTGGCCAACATGCCCTATGGGCCTTGTCTTAGTAATGAAAGTGCAGAGGGTGGAAAAGAAATTCCATTCTGGATCGTTTGGCTCTATCTTCAGTTTCTGATGGCATCCAAAAGATTGGGCTGGCTTTTGGGCTGGCTTTTCAGTGTGCCTTCAGGTTCAGAAGAGCAGCATCTCCTAGGCCCTGCAAAGCCAGTGGGGCTTCACCTGCGTAAATCTGGGCAGAACTGGGGTCTTTGTGGCCAGGGAAGGAACACCAGTAATACTCTTCTCTTTCTGTTCAAATCCAGGAAAGTTTCTTCCAAGCATTAAGACCGTGATGTGAGTCAGCTTCAGAGAAACAGCATCAGATCACCTGAGAATCAGCATGCAAGCCTCAGGTCTGTACCAATCTCTCATATCAGTATTTTTCATTGCAGAGTCAGGATTTCCTTGCGTGGAATCCTGGTGGTGGATTTGCAAATCAACCTCTACCTGTGAGATACCATCATGAAACCACATTGCTCACGGAAGGCAGAACTTTTCTGAATTGTGACAGAATGCCCAACACATGAGATTCTGGAGGGCCACCCAGACAATTTGTTGGTTTCAAAGCACTTTCAGAATGTCAGTCCTCATGGCACCACATAAAATATGTGTCAGGGGCTATTGTTAAACCCCATTGCCAGCTGAGGAAGGGAGGAAAGGAGATTACAAAACCACAACTTGAGTTATTGTTGGAGGCAGGACTGGAACTCGGGATTTCCTGGGCAGATTACCACCCTTCACTTCTCCCTCCGCTGGTATAATTAGCAGTGTCCTGGATCTCTCTAATTCCCATGCAAGAACACATCTGAATGCATTTTTCTTTGAAATTGTCCATCTTAGGGTCATTTCTGTTGTGCAGTTCTGGCTGTTAATGATCTGTTTTCTGCAGCGAAATGCTCACTAGTACACTGTAAATCATGAAGACGTGTAAAGACATCCATTTGTGACTACTGATTTAATCTCTCTGGATTTCTGGAATTGGCTACCTGTAAAACTTTGGGAGCCAGGTCTTGAAAAAACCAGTCCTTTGTGTGTCTTTTAATATTTTTGTTCTTGGCTGGTAGCCATTCAGACGGATGTCTTACATCCTTGAGATGAACTTAGTGCAGTCCTCATTGACCTAGCAAGCCGTTTTTTCCCTGACGACAAGCTGGGATCACATTTTGTAATGACTGCTGCAAGATTGTCTTGTTAGGGAAAGGGCTAAGGTGGGATCGTCTTTAATGACAATGAAAGCACCTCATAAAACCTGATTCCTTGGTTTTACAGGCATGGCTCTGGAATTTTAGCCGATGCAGACTTAGTGAATCAGTCAGTCAAAAATTATATCAGTTGAAGTATAATGTTCATGGCAGTCCAAAAAACCTGAACATGTAGGTGATTTGGAGGGCATTTTGTTAACTCTTTAATTGGTCGTTTGAGTGCTGGAGGCAGTAGCTAATTGCCTGTAGGTCAGAGTAGTCCTAGAGCTTAGGTAAATGTATATTGTCATATGTCACATTTTCATATGGCTCCTTTGCACAGGTTGGTAAAAATGATTGCTGCATAATTAAAATTAAGACAAGGTGGGAAAAGTGATTCAATTAAACCCCTGAAGCCATTGCACAAATTATGTGAAGTACCAAAAACTAATGAATAGTTAAAACTAGTTTTATCTTTTTACTCTTCATTCTTGAATCCTGAGGGTATCAAAATGGCGATTGAATCTCTCTCAAAGTTCTCAGAGGTGAGTTTTTGGGTGGGCAGTGCAAGTATGAGTCAGCTCAGAGGAATCCAGGCCTTTTAAAATACCAGCACACAGAAACTTTGTTACCTAGTTGTTTTGAATTGAAAAGAACCAGACCTTATGCACAAGAGACCTTTTGGTTTCTCCACCAGCCCAGAATTATTTTGAAAACATCTGCAATATTTCACTCTGCATGCAGCAGGTATTATATACCAGGGAGGGTGATGACAGTAAAAATAAATGAGATATGTTATAACCAAAACATCCCAAGTTTTACATCATACATTTCACAACCTTAGCAAGCATCCTGCGCTTTGACTTGAAGGCTGAAGGCGTGTGGTAGTTTTACAAATGTCTATTAGTATTAACAAATATGTTCCATTATTAGACAGTGTGCCACTGCCCCAACCTCCCGGTGCAAGAGGTGAGTTAATATGGCTTATAAAATACAGGAGTGCTGCAGGCACAGGCTGTGGAAATCAGAGCCCTGGCTGAGCAGGAGGTCTCTTTACATTTCGTGGGACAGCTTACTAGAGGCCTGAACATGGGCATAAAAGCTGCCTCCCAGCTCAGGCTTTTTATGGTTCCTGTCCTTTCCCAGAGCAATACAACTTTAGGAGCTTTAGAGCAACGAGGTCTGCACCTTTGGAGACTGGCAGTGTGCTAATTCTGGCTGGGTTTAAAATGAGAAAATTAAGATATGTATGTATGCGCTGTCCCTGAGATTTTTAACAGAATGTTTTAGTGGCTGAAAGTAGCAGGACGCTGAGAGTTGTGCTCTTCCACAGTTGCTGTTTTTTGGGGGTTTTTTTGCATGGCTCTTTGCTGTTAGCTGTAAACCTCCATTTCTGGGACACAGAGTGTTTCTTGGCCAGGTTTGCCAGGATTGTGAGTGTTTGCACAGAGAGGACCCGATACATGGAAACTGGACAAAACAGCACACCTCACGAGGAAATAAAAAAGTCTTGTTTCTCTTCATTAGAACAGATACTTCCCTGGAAGATGTTTAAAATATGCCCTAGTAGAGTGTCTCCAGCCATCCAAGTAGAGGTGTCTGTAGACATTTCCCCTTGCAGAGGGATTTATGGTATAAATGAGGGACACTTTTTATGCTTCCATCTCTTTGGAAGTTATTCTCGCGCTGCATTTGAAAGTAACAGTTAAAAAACCTGTTCTGATGCTTATCCAAACTTAATCAGAAATCTTAAATAGAACTAATTATTGTCACAGGTAGCATGTTCATCTAAGTACTGACTTTATCATGCAAAAAAAAAAATCCCTGCTGAAGACCAGGGTGATTCAGGGAATAGTAGGTTATGGAAACATGATGATGTCAACTCACTAGATGAGCCCTTCATTAATGAGTAAAGCTTCTGTAGGTAGAAAAAATAAACCTTCCTAAAGATTTCTGTGGATCAAAACCCCAAGAGATGAGAGCAGAGTAGAGAAGAAGGAGAAAACTGAAACATAGGAGGTGTTCAAATCACGTGAGCCCTCTGCTTTCCCATGCTTCCTGGTGGAAAAGCAAACAGCCAGACTTTGTCAGGAGTGTCCTAAAAAGTCAAAATTGTGAGGGGACACATTGCAGTCTCCCCCCAAAATATTTTCTTCAGTCTTTTTTTGGTGTGTGTTCAGCCTAGACTGCTGGTAATCAGAGGCAAAATTTCCAGTGCCTGTGATTCAAGAAAAACACTGCTTGTGTGATTAAATGGGGTGCTTTTTCTGAAGCCTTTTCTGTATAGTCTTGGCCTGAGACCACCCAAATGCCCGGTAAAGTACTGCATGAGACAAGCCAAAATTTTCCTTCCATTCCAAAGGCGTAAGCAACAGGCTACAATTGCTTTTATAAATGCAGATTGGGAGTTTTAGGAGGCTACCAACAAAAGCCAGGTTATGGTATGGGCTGTTGTGGATTGCACCAAGAGAGCGCTGAAATTCCTGCTCTGCGTACAGGAATGTGGAAATGACCCAGGAGTGTTTGGGATGCCTTTGTGGATTTCATGTATTATATATAGTATTGTATTACATTTATAGAGATGTATATGGCAATACCATACAGGACTAGTATGAGACATAAAAGTTGTTATGTGACAGATTCACAATTTTTCCTCTGTGTATAGAGAGTGATTCAAGGTCATGGCACCAAATTCATCTTTCCAAAGGGCCTCATTTCACTGCCTACGGAAGACTTGGACCAGTGTCCTGTATTTACTATAAAAATACATATTTAAATATATTAAAAAAACCCCAGCAGTATTTTGATCTGTTAATATGGACCTTTTCAAAGAAAAGCGCAAGCTATTGCCACCAGCCTGGTCCATTCCCATAGCCTGCAAATAGCAAGTGTGTGCAAAGAGTTTAAAACTTGGATTGAGGATGCAGCCAGGGTTGCTGGTGGAGGAGCCAGGAGCACAACCCCTGCCTGCTGGGCTTTGTGGAGAAGACCTACACAATCAAAGCTGTGGAAGGTAAAGGAATGCATTGGGGCTTTGGAGAAATTCTTTTAAAAGCCTCTGGGATTTTGAAGACTAGTGAGAAAGGCTTTCCCTAGACTTTCTGGAAAGTGAGTCACTGGTGGGTTCCCCTGGGAACTGAGGGAGGCAGCAGGAAGATGGTAATGGCCTGTTAAACTTGATAGGACGTGCTTTGGTGGTGGGTGGTGGGACCATGGCATTTCCAAGTGTTTTCATGAGCAGGCAGCAGAAGGACGTGCACATTGTACTTCCTTTGGGGTACATTTTCCATGCAGCGAGGTAGGGATGACAAGGCAGCTGCCTTCTCCCAGAGAGCCTGGAAGCACTGAATTTCCCTCTGGAGTTGCACTCCTCTTGATGTGCATCGGTAGTTTAATGGTATTGTCTTGTAAAGAGGAGGTTTTAAAAGATGTTTTTAATACATGAGACAAACTTATTACCAGTGAGTCTGAGGACTCCCCATCCTTGTGTTAGCTCAGGGAGGCACAACCCTTGCTCACAATACCTCGTGTGCAAGGACCAAAAGCATAGACTGTTTGAAGCAACAGTTCTTGTCTCAGCCCCAAAAAAGGCAGGGATATGAGATATTCCTTTGGCAGTGTGGTTGCCTGGGGATGCATCTGGAACGGAAGGTCTGCTTTGCCATGAGCAGAGCTATTACAGTGCTGTTACAGCCTTTCCAAGAGGATAAAGTTCTTTGGGTGTTCCCACCTTCTCCTGGCTTACACATACGATGACAACATGGCTAAAAAGACCCTGCTGGATGCCCAGAAAGGGACAAAGTTGGTAATGATCAGCGTGCAAAGAAGGATTAGACATGAACAGAATTGGATTGATTGCTTTGGACAACTTTACGACCTTTGTTTTCCTTCCTAAATTTTTTGTGGGTTGTTTTTTAGTAAAATAAATCACAGCACTATGCAACCCCCCTGTAATGTCACTGTATTTTTGGTGGCCCACAATTAGCCTTGATAACCCAAAGGATGGAGACGAGCATATGTCATGGGTGGAGTCAGGAATAATGTGCATCTTTGTGTCTTTTGACGTATGACAGATTTCTTCAGTCAGATGCAGGCCTGGCTGAATTCAGCCACCTTGGCCTGGATATTATCCATGTGGCTAAAATTGCCAGTCCATTTACCCTGGAAATTAT